GACTGGAAAGTGCCTGGAAAGTGCCTGGTTTGTAAAGGCTCTTCTTTCCATTGGCATCGGGGGAAGCCTCGCTTTGCGGCAAGCACCGGTCCGGACGACTCGTCAAAGGAAGACTTACCGTCCGAATGTCAGCTCCTGGAGCTCCGATAGGAAGAAAGCATCATTTGTCGAAAATTGACTTATCAAGTTTGAGCGGTGATAAAGATTGAACATGCGTTGGTTGAACATTCTTGATCCAGGCTATGCAGTCTGCTTCGGCATAATATTATTTGAAGAAATTGGTAATATCCATTGATTGAAAAACATACAGTTTTTGGAGGCAATGTTAGCCTGATGACGCCATGAATGAGCCTGGTGTTGTGACCCCAGAATACCATAGAATGCCACAGAAATAGTTATCTCCAATCATTGCAATCACAGGGTCTGAACGTTGTGGTTTCATGTGTCACGGTGTTAAAGGTGGGCTTGCCGTGAACATTATGATTCCAACCTGCTGTGTCAGTGCGTGATGGTGAGACAAAGGTGGAGCGATGGTGACGATCCCATGGCACTCAGGCCGGTACTCAGGCATATTTGACTGAACTTGTTTTGTCGCTGATTTTGCAGTGCATACCAAACTTCAATAATTATAGGCACACACTTCCTTGAGATGGTTCCTTGTGGCGAAGCGCCTGCACACAGAGCAAACATGATTTTGGATGTCATATTTGTTCAGATAATACAGTATATATACTTTGTTGAAATTCATAATCGACTTTATCAAACATGAAACCGTTTTGGACGTAGCCCCAAATCGCCTCTTAGCAGGCATTATGAGGCGTCATGAAGTCAAACATCACCTACGGAGTCAAACGTATGCCATTAGGACTCCTAGGCTGAACATTGCCATGAAGACTAGCGAACATATAGCGAACTTGTCAATACCGGTCACAAGAGTCGCAAGGTTCTAGGATATTCTAGGGCCAGGGTCCTAGTCCTCCAGTTGGCTCCGACTCGCCAAAAACCCTCAGAGCACTGATGCCGAATCGGTCCCCTCGGGCCTTTGGCTGGTCGGAGCGGATTCCGAGTTTCTTCGAGAACTTCTGCGTGCCACGCAGACTCGGACGGTCGGTGGAGCGGGTCACGTGGACGCGAGGAGGCAACAAAACCAGCCGGCCAACAAGAACCGGAGACCACGGAGTTTCTAGTCTTTGAGAGTGGCTCTTTGGATCCACATGGCCGGAATGTGAACCTTGGGAGATCAAACGGTGTACCAGAAAGAACCACAAGGACAATGGGTCGGATCCCCACGAAATCCAGCTCAGGTCGAGCTCCCTTGGAGAACTATTGTAAGGTCTTTTTACTTCGAACAACACAGCGAACTGTTTCTGCGACACGTCTGAGAGCTTCACATCTTCGTTAGAAAGTTGATGTTTAAACTAAATCATTGTGCCCAGGTAATGCAGAAACAAAGAGCCCCATGCAGCCATGCACTATTCATGTATGTCCGATCATCCTAAAGATTGGCTAGTAAAATAAAGTCAGGTTGGGACGATGTTTGCTTCTTTTCGACCCATGGTAGCATGATGTCTCTTTTTCAGAAATATGAGTCGGACCATGCGTCTAAGAAATAATGATCCTTGGACAAAAGATGTTCAGGACACCTAATCCAAAGCTGAAAGTTCCACACGCGAGAATGCGAGGGTCATTTTTTTCTGGAGTTGAGTGTTGCGGTTCCGGAACCTGAAACACACCATATCACACCATCCTTTCTGAGTGTCCGTGACCGCCGTCCCTTCCATCCACCCCATTTCAACACATGGCCTATGGAGCTGGCGATGGAAGCGACGCGCCATGCAGACTTCGGTCAGCTGATTGAATTCTTTGTAGCATCCCTCAGTGATGAGGGAAGCACTTCTGGGCAATCCAGCAGGGTAGTGACAGCACCGAGAGCCTCAAACCTAGAAGCGATGGCCTCCGACCTAGAAGCGATGGCCTCCAACCTAGAAGCGATGGGCTCCAACCTAGAAGCGATGGGCTCCAACCTACTAGCGATGGCCTCCAACCTACTAGGGAAGGGAACCAGATGGAACCGGGGTAGTTTTCAGATTTGGTGAGTGCATGGGGCCGTGCACGCTCCTAGGTGATTCCAAATCCAGAATAATCCAGAGCTCTCTTTGCAAAGTCGCATCCACTGGTCTGCCTTGCAACATTTAGTGCTCGGTAGATCCAAAGGGCTTGGACGAGAATGAGTTTTTTCTGTCGCATGACGCCGCATGAACAGGGAAACTGACCAATCAATGGGTTTTAGATGGTTGTAGTCTGCACTAACCTACAACCAGGTCTATCATGGGTCTCCCCCTGTCCAAAACACCCCATCTTCCTCACCACCCGCAGGGTGACCTGGAATGACCAGTTGATGTTGCTCCGACCACCTCCGACGGCCTGAGTGTCCGACGCTTTTGCAAAGGATGTCCACATCCTGACATTCCGCCACCCGTGCATCCCAGCAAAGAACTCCCCAAACTGAGAACTCCCCCAAAACAGCGCAAACTGTTTAGCTGCCTTATTTTTATGATCACAGGTGACCTGCTCGGAATTCGAGGTGAAGCTCTTGTCCTAGTCTCCTGTATCGAAAAACCCAGGCACTGCTAAGGGCTTTGCAGATTCTTTGCACATCAAGCACTTATGAATTTGCCTGTCCTATATGTGCTCTTTCATCCTATCGGGACCACCCAATCGTAAAAAACGCAAACAACATCGCAGCAAAAACGATGGTTACCAACGACTTCAAACGTCTTTCTCAGCTCCAGCCGGGCCTTGGGGTGTTTGGCTTGGAAGATCTCCCGAATGATGTTGATGTGTGGAGGACAATCAAAGGAGGTCTTCAACCCGCGGTTCCTGAGGACTGTCTCAGCGGTTTGACAAGCGAAAGGGAGGATCGGCTTTGGTGCAGAAAAATGTCCGAGATGAGATGACATGCAATAAACCATTTGGTGGGGAAAAAAGGGTTTCAAAACAGCTTGATATTATCATTCTCTCTCCCTCTCTCTCTTCAGTATTTTAGGAATCTAATTACTCTGGAGGTAACTGAAACAACTGGTTTTGTCGCGGTACAGTTGGTCTCAGCAAATTGGGTCTCCACTTTTTTTCAATCTTGCCAACGCGTCCTCTGAAAATCTCAGCTAGCTACGAACCTGAAGCTCTGAAGCTATGAATCGGTTGCCACTAAGCAAACATTCTGGAGTTGGTTCTGGCTGCTTCACCTCAACAAACATACTACAGGATTTGCTCAGAGTCAATCATTCGGCTTCGGACCAAGAAAAGGTCACAACCAAGAGGGTGGCTGGGCCGATATTGAAACGCCACACTAACCACCAGTCGTTTGCTTACTAACAGCAAAACATTACTTGCATGGAATCAACATGTACCGCCAAATCAACCGCTGCCAACGGATTCTTGGTGTATACAATTTGGTCCAACACACCACAAAAGTGACTCGATCTGAATCACATCCCTTCATCCCAGGTACATACACTCGGTCTCTGTTGAGATCTCTCGCAAAGCCTCTGCGGTGGCCTTTGGGTTGGCGCACAAGCGGTCGAAGGTCCTGGCACCAAAAAGGGTGGCCAAATCACCTTTGGTTTGGCCAACTTTTGATTGAAACGTCCAACCTTCCACACACACAGACAAATGATACCTACAATACTATATCTATATATGTCAAGTGAAGCTCAAGTCTGTGGCACGGCTAAAGCGGAAATGCACGAGCACATCAACTAAATATAAGTATATATATATTGTCATCATAGAATCATAGGGGCCGCAGATAAAGAAGTTGCACATATTCTGATTGACCTACATTGACCCCACGACCAAAGCCATGTAGGCGTGCGGGTGGTTGGTTGCTCTGGCTCTGTTTGCTTTGTAAACATCAAGATACTCTGACGATACTCGGAAGACAGCTGAATATAATATAGTGGCGACGAGTCAAAGAAGGTTTGGCGCCATCTTTTCGGACGTCAAAGAAGGTTTGGCGGCTCGGGTGCACCGGAACTTGGAGCAACTATATGGTTACCGACCTCACCAAGGGAACAGACCCAGTTGGAGGTCTCTACCAGGGGCATCCAATGGTTATCCAATGGTGGTCCCTATAAAGTAGTCTGGGTATTGCAGTAGACACCTGCATGCTACTGGTATATATATATATCTATAATGCACATGAATGCACATATTCTATTTAGGTCCTTTTTGAGCCCTGAACGGTGAGCATGTCTGCCATGACCATCTTCCCTGTGGCACAACCCCACGACCCAAACGACTCCGCACGGCTCTGGTCAGTCCGGGCAAAGTTCGTCACTCCGCAGTTCACGCTGAGCGGGAGCAGCTCCTTGAGAGGAACCGGTGTGGCGACTTTTGGAGCGAATCCGCAAAAGGATTACTACTAGTAACAAGAAGCCATGAGTAGCTATTTGCTACTAGTAACTTAGTAGTAATGCCCTTAGCTACTAATAGCTTCTTGCTACTAGTAGCGATGCACCTTGTTCCTAGTAGCTATTTGCTGTGTGAATGAAAAAGGCTGACTTTTAGCTTCCAATTTCGCTGAAACCACTGACCAACATATGACCTCAAGTGGATAGTCTATGCATTGTCTACGAAAGGGTTTGAGACATGCATGGATGGGAGACCCTTGCTGGCCCATGTTTCCCACAGAACACACACACACACATACACCACAGTAGCTTCGGCTCCAAAAGCATCCACAGTCTGTTTCTTAGGGCGCAAAGCTTGACGCTGACCGCTGACCGCTGAGGCGAGCGGCCTCCAAACATGCATCCTCACAAACCTTTTCCACATCTTCTGGCCTTTCAGGAGGTGACCGGAGCGTTCGAATTGGAAGTGCTAAGCAGTGACCCTGGCCAGGTGGGCATGGACCCGGTAGCTTTGGAAATATAATGTTCTCTCTTATGGTGACTGTGAAAATAGAATAACGTCAATCAAGAATGTCTATGGGTGAAAACCAGGTGGACCCGAGTTGCCCATCCTAAGATGAAGCGAAGAGAAGAGAAGAGAAGAGAAGAGACTACCAAATATCGTCAACCGAAAGGAAAAAACTTCGTGGGGGAGGGGGAGGTGCCAAATATTGCCAAATAGCCCTATGACGATTGGAGGAAACAAACTAAACAAACAGTTGCCCACAATTCCGTTGGATGGATTCGAACAATTTGAACTTTGGTTACTCACCGAGTTCTTTGGACAAAGCAGCATTGCGCACGATGTCCCGGTCGCCCCATTCCGAAAGGATGATGGTCTTTTGGGTTGTACCAAAGATGCTTGTATAGATGTACTGTTGGGGCTTCAGTATTGACTCTGAATGACTCAAAATGAGCTTCACTGATCTCCATCTCTCACCCGCATTCACAGCGCCTCATGGTCTGCGCATCCACGTGTGGCGGGCAATTCATGAGTTGCTCTCGTCCCACCTGCCAGGGGACACGGGTTGAGAACGGAAGGGTTCAAACCGAATTCCACGACACTGGCCCGGCGAGGAAAGGGTGTATCCTGCAGCTTTGGAGGTGGTCATGTTAGATGTGTTCCTTCCATCAATGGTCTCTAGCGTTGTATACTGCATAATTACTTGGTAGCGAACCAACCGTCAATACGAAAGAACAGCTCTGGCCCAAGAGCACACTTGAGACTTGCCGCCAAAACGCTTCAGGCCACGGTCTGCACACTTTCCGTATGATATACGTTGACTCCTTCGAGCAAAAGGTAGGACTAGTTTCGCGCCTGAAGGCATTGGCGTATCTGCTGGTGGCGCTTGTTGAAGCAGCAGTCCAAAGATTGCCCGGAAGAACCTGGAAGATGCAAAACACGAAGCAAAGGTAGAAAACCAACATAGAAATCTTGGTTCCTTATCCACATCATGTATTTAACTATAGTTATGATATATATAGTCCGGTCTGTGGTGTTCAAGTGTTGAACTTGGAGATTGACTCGAGCTTCCAGTTGGATTGTGAAACAGCGACAGGGTACACTCCAAGTCTTAGAGGAGAAAGTTGGTGCCAAAGTTCAAGAGGTTTGTCTTTCCTTTTGAATCGAAACACGTCCAGGCAGCTGCAGCTTTTGCACGGACTCGGTTGTGCTGATGAAAGACATGCAGCACCCTGAAACTGAAACCACAAAAAAATAGCTGGCTTCCAAGTCGCAAAGTGTCTCTCAACCTCAAAAAGTAAGGCTTACTTGGAGCAAGGACGCTACCAGTAACTAGAAACGTCCTTGGGAATTGTTCACAATCGTTTCACCTGTAGTAACAAGAAGCTACTAGTAGGTCATTGAGACTACTAGTAACAAGAAGCTTTTTAGTATGTCTGAACTACTCCAAAGACGCGAGCTTTGGACGGACCTAGGACAGTCTCCCAATCTCCCGCCGCACCTGGACAGCAGTAGCCTTCCAGCTTCAGTTGATGGCACACGGGCGTCTCAGCGCACTGCACCGAACTCGTTAATCGCCCCTGAGTGCACCGGACTCGTCGGGAGAGATGGACGACTCACCATGCAGCCAGCGGGGTTCTTACAGTGGAAGTACTTGCAGGAACTGAGAAGAGTTCACCGAACTGAGAAGAATTGATGTGTACATGTTGATGTCCCAAAGTCACAAAAGCAACATTGAAAGGAGAATCCAAAGCACCACGATGTTCTTCTGGTGAAATGGGTAGAGTATGGTAGAGTACTTTCTGTCTTTGATCATAAGATGTCATAGAAAGTCATAACTCACAATGATGTTCACAGGTGTTTGCAAAACCCAATGATGGATCCGTGGACCGATGAAGCGATTGGTCTGGTCGGTGTAGGCGGCTGGTATGCCCGTAAGACGTCAGCCGAGATACGCCAGGCAATGTTTCGTTCAATACGCGACCTTGGCTTCCCCAAGTACTTCAACATACGTAGGAACCGTGCAGCAAAGTAAAAGGTGGGTAGGTCAAATCCTAGATCGGTCAACTTGCCATAGCACCTACCCCATGACTAGTGGACTAGTGGCCATCGATGAATGAATAGTCTGAGGCAGGACTGGTAATGAATGGAGGAAACTGAACTTGCCGGAAGGCGCAGGGCCAACCAAATATACAATCAAACTGGGCAAACCAAAAGAGGGAGCATGTCCCTTGAATAGAACGGGTACACAGTCAGCTCGAAAAAAGCAGTTTGACCAGTGGTTGAATTCCGGCATGCAATTTTTCACCGCACGGCCTCATTTGATGTTTCCTTTGTTTTTGCTGCTAGCCAAAACATTCCAAGGGCATGGAGATATTTTGGTGGTTACTAAAGAACATTCAGTGTTGAAGTAAAGACTCACGGGTTCTGGTGCCAACTTCCTCACCTCCCCATCCTGGTGTGGGAAGGGAGCTGGCGCGGCAGGGTGGGGTAGGGTGCCAATGAGAGCTAAAAATGAACGAAAAATATCTCGCACAGATGAGGTGTACTCTCTACAGAGCAGCACTCTCCAGGAAGACTCCTTGATCGCATCAGGAGTGGTGTTCAATGTTGTTCAGTTTCATCATCCCACGCTCCAAGTCATTGCTATGCACCCCACTCGTCAACTGGTCGTTGCTGAAGCGGGAGGGCCGCTTAACCCCCCTTTCACCTCCCCCCCAAAAATGAGCTCATTTTTCGGTGGCCATGCGGCTTCGGCGTTGCAACATCTCCATGGACTCGCTGCAGCTGTCGTGCTCCAAGGTCTGGCGGGAAAATAACGGTCGGAGATCCCTAAACCTTCGAGTGGTACATTGAGTCGTAGAGTCCAAGAAAAGTTGCCAACCGGCCAAGAAAAGTGGTGGCTTTTGGGCTTTGTCACAAGCATTTGAACAGGCGGATAAAGGTTCCATCCTCCTGTTCTACCCATGGATCTGCATCCATGTTTCTGGTTACGTGTTCTTCACCCATTGCAATTTCTCTGCTGGGCCTGCTGGGAAAAAGGGAATCCGGCTATGCACCCACTAGAATTGATGCACTCACACCAAATGACCCCCAGGAAGAAATCCTGACAATCACCATGTCTCATGCTCAAAACTTCATATTCGAGGCGCTTGCAGAATTTGAATTCAATATAATATCTCCACCACCCAATACTACTACACCGCAGGCTGCTTTGAAGGCCAGATGAGGGATTGTCAAAGTCAATCCCAAACACAAAGACTTCCGAAGCGAAGTGTCCTGTACAGTGTCCTGCACTGTCCTGAACCATTAGATGGCATCAACGGTCGGATCATTGAACCATGCAGCGACAACAATTTCGACCACCCCAGTCTCAACGACCCAAGTCTCCCTGCCTCTTCAAGCTCCTCTTTCCCTGCCGACAAAGCTGCCAGAAGCCACAGGCCCACCGGCAAGCGCATGGCGCTGAATAAAGGCGTGACCACACACGGTGTTTCGCGCGAACAGCCCGGCAGGGCCTGATTTGGGCTGCATCTACAAGCCAAAGGTAGTTGTAGGAAAAAGAGCTTTGCTTAAGGACTGTCCTCAAAAGGGTCCCTTTGTCCAGTACCAGTTTCCGGTGAGTTTATTTCAACCTTTTGGGCTGCCAGTCTTTTGAGCCCCAAAGTTTGAATCCGTCAAAGCTTGTCGGTCTCTTTGGAGTCTTGCGGTGCTTGTGTTCCTCAACAGCTACAGCGATGAATGCGGCTCAGGGTTCTACTCACTCTTCACCATAACGGTGTGCGGTTGAAAGTTCTCTGCCATACCCAGGAAAATCGTGCAATCATGTCTGCAAATCCCGTGTCCTGGTCTATGATTGTAAACATACTACAAACATGCTTTGCGGAGGATTTTATATCACTCTGGAGCACAGTTCAATCTGAGAAATCCGAACAACGAACAAGTGTTTGTCGCACCTAGATTCAGGACAAATACCAAACATGAACAGTCATCCCTGCATCCTCAAATAAATGGAACATGCTGGTACATGTCCGGTCAATGATCTTCAGTCCCCTTTTGTACTTTTTGCAGCCCACAAGAGTCGAGGAGCAACGTGTTTCATTTGATCGACATCACCTGTACTCACACTGTACTCCCTGAAAGATCCTCATGAGTGTGCTGTGGTGTTAGGTCCTCCAAACGTAGTGTGTACATCTGTGAGTGTTGCTTTGCAAGATGTAAACATTTTTATAGATGGTGCGCTTGGCTTGAGGAAACATGTACAGTTGAAATCCAGCTATGGCTATAGCTAGCCATGTCCAAAACAACTCCTTCTCCCAGGGGTCGTCCACCCAACTTCGCCCGCGCCGTGAAAGCGAACGCGGGCCAAAGAACTCCAGACCGTGAAGCCCGCCTGATCACTCCACTGTAGTCTGGAAGCTGTGATACCAAAAGGCACGGCTATTAAGAGTACCTCAAGAGCAGTGGAAACACATAGAAAATCCCCGATGGAGTTACCGGTAGGTCTTGGGAATGCGATTTTATAGCTATAAATGGCCCGTCCCAACATCCAGCAAGCAATCTCTCCACTATAAAATGAAGACTCGACATGAAAGCAGTAAATCTCTATAAAATCAAGTCTCAACGTCTAGGTTGCCCGAATGCAGAAAGAAAACTCGAAAAATGATCTAGATTGGAGGTAGTTTTACCTTTATGTTGCCAAGGTTGGAATTGATTTTATAGTGAGTTGTTTGGATTCAACTGGGCTGAGACTTGAATTTATAGGGATTTGGTTTGCAGAATCTGACAACGGCAGCGATGATAGACCTCACTCCTATAAAATAAAATGTCAAAAAATCCAGACCTTTATCTATGTGTGCTTGTTTAAAGATTCTGGCCAGAAGCTACCAGGTCGACACATCATTTTATAGCAAGCCCTCCCCTATAAAATGACATGGGGTTTTGGTGCTCGAGTACGTCCATTTTATAGGGTTTATTCCATGGAGGATCATAGAAACATGATGCATTCGAGGAACAATGGCAAACGGAGTTCTGGGGTCAGGGCACAGCACTGGCGATCGGCACAAGCGTGGGACACATGTGAAACCCCTGACGGCCACTCCAAGGCGATGTTTGGACATGTTTTTTTTCACTGGTTAGGGGCAGGTGTCAACTTGCAAATTCCTCTACATTCCGCCAAATCCCACTTCGAAATCGGCCTGGTTTTGGATCTCATTCGTCAACTGGTTGAGAACCGAAGGAGAACCCCATGGCGTCGCGAGGTATCGCTTTTGGTCGACTCAGCTTTTTTTGTTGGGTTTAGGGCCCAGCAATTGCCCAATCCCAACACGTGCGCATGATCATCTGCGAGGGACCGACCCTTCCTTCCATTCCATGTCACCGGAATTCCTGTCACCCGGAGGACTGACATCGGCGACCGACATCGGCTATGCCGTGCCAGGTGCGTTCAACGGCGAATCAAAGAGCACCTTCTGAAAGATCGCCCCCTGACGGCGAGACATTCGGCGATGGCGTGCGCTACTAAGGACGCTACGAACGGAGCATTCCGGGCATCGCGACGAACGGAGCGATCGGACGCCACGTTTGGGGCTCCTGGCCGTACTACTAGGAACAAGGTGCATCGCTACTAGAAACAATAAAGCTACTAGGAGCAAGGTTCATCGCTACTAGTAGCTCTTGGCATTACTACACTAGTGACTGATCTCTTTGGGCTTATGGGCCCAGAATTGGACGAAAGAGAGTGGGAAACTTGGACGAGTTTGCTTTGCAACCGGACGACAACTCGACCCGAGCTCCAAAGCCGATCAACCCGCATTCCAGACCGAAAACCTGAGTCTTTCCATCTCAAGAACTCTTGTTTTTTGATCCAGGGCCAGCCCTTGTTCAGCAAATGCTCCAAGTACTATTGCCATATATATATATATATTAATATATATATATTGCCATCTATTGCCCAGCCAATTCGGACGATATGTGACCGGAAATTGCAGGGGAGCAACTCTGATAATTTCGGAAGGTCCTATGTAATGGATGCATTGGGGCCTGAACATTTTACCGGGTGTTATAAACAAATATGTCACGCTGATTCTACTGCCAAACATGTTGGATCTATCATGGTCTATCCTAAACCTATCAGAAACTGCTGAATCATGATGTTGTGGTCAGGCTCACTGTTTGACTATACCTTCCACTGAGCTGGAAGAAGGATGATGACAAAGGCATCTACTTGACTATGTTTGCGATCCTTCTCAACGAATTTTACCAGGACCGGGTTGCAAAATATAGACCTTATTGAACCTTTTTGAGAACAACATCTGGCCTGGCGCATGTCCTAAGATTTGGTCACCAGACTCGCAAGCGAATAGTCGTATTCAATGTGCCGTGATTGATGGACCATAACTTGTACTGCATGATGCTCATGCAAGAAAAACAAACTTATCAGCAAATTGTGTACACTACAAGAACTCATTGTTCCCTCATTTCTGAAGTGACAGTGGTTGGCAGCACCTCAAAAGCAAAAACACCCTGTCCAGCACCCTGTCCACTGAGGCTTCAGACAGGACTCGCCTTGGTGAGACAGAGGGAAAGGTTTGGGAGTTCGCTGTGCTTTCTCCGAAAGCAAAGCCGACATTCACGTTGCAAGCAATCTTAGCATACACATTTCCCTACATTCTTTCACCCCAATACGATGTGGCATCTAAGTTCACTCCAACCTTCATCTCGAAGCTCCATCCCTAAATGGATGCTAAATATATACACCATCCTGAAGTGGAACAGCATGATATATGATAGAAATTCTTCGTTCAATCTACCTTGAACCCATCCGACTCCAAATGTCAACTCTAATGAAGTAATTACTCTAATTACTCAACTCACTTCACTCAGCTTCTTCGCCCAGGCCGAGACACATATTTCTTGACCTCCGTCGGCTGCGGCTCTGGCGCCGTTGCTTTTTGCGCCTCCTGGCGTCGATGCGTTCGCAAAAGGCATCGCGGAACACGGGTGGAACCCGTCCCGGACAAAGGCATTGCTACGAACGGCAGCAACGGACGCTACTAGGGGCTCCCGGCCGTAATACCATAGGAGCAAAGAGCATCGCTACTAGGAGCAATGAGCATCGCTACGAACGGAGCAATGTTCGCTACTAGCTACTGGGGGCAAGGGATGTTTTTTTGGTTTTAAGCAACTCTTCGTGACCGAAGGTCCGATCTCAAGGACTGTCACTCTGAAGGTCCTGGAACTTAATTGATGACCTTGTCACTCTGGTGCATTGGAAGTCTGTCGAAATCCTTTTCGATCGTTTTATGCTCTAGAAGAAGTGTGTCATTCCATCAAATATCCACCTCATCTCTTCTCGTCGCAGAAACTGGTTTGATCAGACAGTTGGTAGGACCCGACCCGAAGATGCTTTCTTGGACTTTTGAGACTCGTTGGAAATCTATTCTTCTCCCTATCGCTACTAGTAGCAAGGACGTTACTAGTAGCTCCTGGCATTACTACTAGTAGCAAGAAGCTACTAGTAACAAGGCATCTTACTACTAACTATATAGTAACAAGAAGCTTCTAGTAGCTCCTGAGTTACTGAGTTGTGTCTGTTTTGGTTGCTTGTGGGGAGTACAGCCTTGCACTACGCGCACACACACACACACACACTCAAGCACGACAACAGCCACGCAGGGATCCTATTTCTGCAAAGGGCGCCCACGTGAACCTTCGCGCAAATACTGGTGGCTACGCGAGCGCCTGTGCACCAGAACGGACATCCAACATCCAAACAAATTAAGCTGCCTGCATGTTGGCTAAATCAGCTTTCCATGCTTCCTGTGCATTCAACAGACTGGTTGCAATACTTTGACACTTTTCTTGGAGCCCATTCTGTGGGAAATGGACAACTCATTGATTGTGCTTGGAGGGCCTGCCTGGTATCTTATCAATTGTTTCCGCAATCAACACCCACAAGTTCATAATTTCTTTGAAGCCTTTCAATTCCCATTACTGCATTCATTGGCGTTGATTTGGATTTCATAGAACCGATGCTGAAAAATGAACCTTAGAAGTGCAACCACTTCTGCCTTCGCAAGCAAACATGGAGGTGCACTCTCATCTAAATTCCATTATAAATGCTTTTCTTGATGCCCACATAAATCAGGCAGGACGACTGTTCCATTGGAATCAAACCCCCGGTGCACTTCCTATGTATCCAACAAGGCATGGAACCGAAACGTTCCAAGCCGAACAAAACGACGGCTGGCAACGGAAGAACATGTGGGGACGAAACGATGGCCGCTCGGAAGGTCTTTTTTCAGGACGAATCCAACAGACTGGCAATCAAAAAAACGGACTGACTTTGTTTGACTTAGTTCTGCATGGAGTCCATTCTATTGTCCATTGGCGAAGTGTCTGAAATCTCGGGCTCAACCGAGCTCGATGTTTGTGTTTGTGTGTTTCCCGCTGCACAACGGCCATGCTCCACAACCCTTGCGCTTCCCCGGGATCGTCAACAATCAAGATTACATATATA